GCAGTATTCTGCTGCTACTGGAGAAAAAGTGTTTACAACCTCCATTGTTTTGCAGCACCTCCCCTATAGAGGGCTGGTATGATGTTTTAATCAAAAAGCTAACTGGCGCCATGCATAATTTACTCTCCTCATTACTGCCGTGGCCACTGGGCGGTCAGCTCAGGATGGGACAATGTGTTCTGTCTCGGATAGTGACGAGAGAGAGGGGTCGCCGTAGGGTTAGCTGCAGATCAAGACGGAAGGTCCCAGATGTGCAACTGATCTGATGTACGGCTAGTTAATTAATCTGAGCCCTTTGAACTCACCGTGAGGTGTTTACAGATACTTTTAGTATTAAGAAACTCTTGTAAAACTGTTTTTTTATTTAGCTTCAAAGTAGAACCTGATTAAGGTTTGATTGTTTTATTATCAGTGAATTTGACTGTGGCTATAGATCTCTCAGCTACTCATGACTAGTCTCATAAGTCCTGGTCAGCAGAGCAGAATAAGTTAATTATTTACACACACCAACACACACACACACACACAGCTGTGGAGGTGGGGGAGGAGGTGCTGGGGTTGTCAGTAGTAGGGGCCCATTGTGCGAGCCGCCAGCGTGGGGCTGTGTGAGCTGTGATGGAGGGCTCTGGACCCTTGCTGTTGTCTTGCCTTTCTCTGCTGATTTCATGCCTCTTTTATCATTCACTTTCACACAAAACAAACAACACCGAGGATGTCTGCTATGGGAACAAGTGTCTCTCTCTCTGAATCTTTCTAATCACCTTCTCCTCCATTTTCCACTTCTTCCCCCGTCCTCTCTTTCTGCCTTTATTCTACTTTTAACCTGATATTCAACCTTTCCTTTTTACTGACTGTTTTTCTTTCTATTTGCCCCCTTTTAACTTTCCTTCTGGCTCTGCCATACTCGCCTTTTTCTCCTTTCTTCACACCTTCTTCCTGCTCTTGGATGACTTTCCAGCAAATCGCTTTACTTGTTCCTAGTCAACATCCTGTTACTACATCCTGTATGGCATCAACAGGCTGCTGTGTGGCTGGCTGGTCGGCTCATAGTGAATTTTTCCCACGTGCACGGATTCAATTTCTCCTCTCCAGTTGATCCCCTCCACTTCCTCCGAGTTAAACTGAAAGTCATGGATGTGTAATCCCAGTCTCCCTGTCAAGCTAAGCACCTTTCTCCACTTCCTGCTCTCCTTCTCTTCTCTTTCTCTTTTTTTCATTTGCAAATGGGACTACAATCTGTTTACCCTGGCCAGTGAAGAGTGCTTCGGCCCCTCAGCAAACATTTGCCCTCGCACTTAAACTCCTGGCTACCAGGGCGCTCGTCCCCCACATCATGTGAATCACAAGAGGACCCAGTCTGTCCACAGGAGTATGGAAATGTCAAGCTCTGCCAAAGGTCTACACCAAGCCCCCCCGCAGCATCTAGCACTTTTACTAGAAGTGTAATCATGTTTTAGTCACAACACTGTGGTCAGTTAGGTTGATGGGCAAAGTTGGTTTCAGTCCTAGGTTAAAATTGAGGAGCCAACTATTTTTCCCATAAATATAGATAATTTCTTTGTTCATTCGTGATAATCGTAAAAAGGAAAACACTATTAGATTACCAATAATGATAAATGGTGTATATCATGTAATCCTAATATGTAATAAGATGCAACTTTAACCAAGTTAGTCATTTTTGCTTAATAAAACCAAACCAATCCATACATTTTTAGATTATTTTATCAATCAATTATTGCTTGGTGTACAAATTCTTACAGCGTTTCTTGAAGAAAAATATTTTAAAAGTGCTTCTTGTGCATCATCTGAAGGTGTCTGTAAAAGTACTGCTGTATAAAGATGTATCCATTGACTTCATTATGATTTTTCCTGTGTGTGTGTCAGGTGTTTGTGGCCTCATCGTCCCTCAGGAGGACATGCCGTTCTGTGACACGGGCATCTGTCCAGACGTCATCATGAACCCTCACGGATATCCCTCCAGAATGACGGTATGAACTGTGGGAGAAAATATTTTGTAATGCTGAAAAACCCAATCATTTTCATCAGAGATTAGTGTTCCTATTTTTTCATTGAGTCCTTTCATTGTATTGTCCAGAAAAAGAGTGCAAAACGCCATTATACTTTCCCACAGAGAAAGGTGACGTCTTTAAATGTGTTTTCCCCAAAACCCAAATACATCTACTTCATTATGAATCATGCAAAGAAAATCAACAAATTATTAGATTTGAGCCGCTGAATTTAGTAAATATTTTACATAAAGGTTTAAAAGGAGACTTAAATGATAATAGACTATAAACATAGTCACAGATTCATTTTTTTGCATTCTATAAACTGATTGAATAATCTTTTAAACTCTGATATTCTGTGTTTTATTTGTCAGATCAACTTTTATTTTCGAACATTTGATGATTCAACACCTAATCTGTTATTTGTGACTTCAGTCTGAATCACCTGTTGACCGTTTGTCTTCATAAGTTTGTGTCGGCTCTTCAGAGAAAAAACCCTCGTTATCCCGCTCCTCTCCTCTCTGGGTTATCATTGGCCTCCAGGGCACACGTCCATTGACGCCGGTAAGCAGCAATCTAACTGTTCACAAACAGATATTTGTTGCCGCGGAGACGGCTGCCAACGAGCCGACGCCTGTAGCAGAGTGTGGAAGTTTTATCAAACATGCACAGCACATCTGAGGCGCAGGATGGGGCTGAATGAGAATGACTTGGCCCCGTTTCTGCCTGTTTTTGTCCCTTACACTGTAAAAACTTGAATGATCTTTACTGCTGAAGTTGTCAGTGCCAGTGTGTTTGCTGGCTGTGGTTGCCATGGAGAAGTCTCAGAAATGTTTGGCTCGGGAGGATGTTTCTGTGGCCTGAGAGTGAAATGAGAGTAGGTGCTTCCTTTTATGTGTCAGGGTCAGGGGTCCTCTGGGTGAGACCTCAGTGGAATTGTTGAAATCAGTCATGCTTAGACTGCCGGTCCCACCCCAAGGGGTACATGTGTAATCTAATCACACCCACAATATCAACACTTGCTGCCAGTGAAGAGTGTAAAGCACAGAAGATTGATGTTATTAATGAGCCTTCGTTACATGTGCACTGCTGATCCTGTCAGGTGGGGAAGTTGATCGAGCTGCTGGCCGGGAAGGCGGGGGTCCTGGACGGACGCTTCCACTACGGCACGGCGTTTGGAGGCAGCAAGGTGAAGGACGTGTGTGAGGATCTCGTCCGCCACGGGTACAACTACCAGGGCAAAGACTTTGTCACCTCAGGAATCACTGGGTAATGAAGAGCTCATGTTTCATCCCATTAAACAAAACTCAAACACACGTCACATTACTTTTATTGCTTGTTTATTTACACTGAGTTTGTGAAAACATAAAGCTAACTTGAGGCAGAAAATCATCATATCAGACATATTGGACTATTTCGGTAAATCTATCTTGTTGGTGTCGTCCAGCAAACTCGAATATCGGACTTGGAAAAAGTATTTGTTTCAAAGTTATATGAAACATTTCTGGATTAAAATATAAAACAAACGCTAGACCTATGATATATATTTGTTTTAATTGTGTACCAAGGTTCGAATAAAAAAATCTGTTACTTTAATAAAGCTAAGGGTTAAATATATTCTGTACCCTGTAATGACAAGATATCTCCTTTGCCTTGTGTAAAGGTCGTCTGCCAGATAATGTCATTATTAGATTTTTTTTTCATACAGTTTTAACCACTTTTTTACAAACTAAGTTTAAGATCTTAGTCATTCCTATATATCAACACATTTCAGTTGACGTTATTGGGCATCTGTATTTTAAGTTTTTAGAAAAACAATCGGAGCAGCAATAGCGACAACTGAACTGCGCTGGAAAACACTGATTCTTTTTTTATTGAAGTGTCTATTTTTACTTGACAGGTGATTAATTTTGAACTGAATAATCTGTACTGTAGTGTTGACTAAATGTTTACAGATGCATTAGCTTGACATTTATCTCATTCCCTCAGGGAACCTCTGGAAGCGTACATCTACTTCGGACCGGTGTACTATCAGAAACTAAAGCACATGGTGCTCGACAAAATGCACGCCAGAGCCCGAGGCCCCAGAGCCGTCCTCACCAGGTACAATCAACCGTCCTATTGTCATTATACAGAAATAACAACAAAAAAACTGTGTTGCTCTCTTTTATCAATATCTCTAGTGATAATGTCATGCTTCTGTCCCGTCCTCAGGCAGCCTACAGAGGGTCGCTCCAGAGACGGAGGGCTGCGTCTGGGCGAGATGGAGCGTGACTGTCTGATCGGCTACGGAGCGAGCATGCTGCTGCTGGAGCGCCTCATGATCTCCAGTGACGCCTTCGAGGTGGACGTGTGCGGGCAGTGCGGCCTGCTGGGATACTCAGGGTGGTAAGTTGAACATTTCAGTCAACATCTCCAGATCTGTGAGTCCATTTGTACTGGAAACAAACATACAGGTTCATCTTTTCACTAAATGATTTCAGTTTCATCATACCATCATGTCCTTTAATCTGTTTCTTTAAAAAAATGTAATATCATGCAAGATTTGAAGGTGCATTTAAGGAAACATCTAGGTCAAAGGACAACAACCTTTGCCATTAGTTTACAGTGTACAACAATGTCCACTGAAAGAATCAAAATCCCACGCAGCTTTGTCTTTTTTTGAGCAAAGGTTTAACAGGATTTGTTTCTTCTTGTCTGATTCTCGGTTTTTATCTTCAGGTGTCACTATTGTAAGTCCTCCTGCCACGTCTCCTCTCTGCGGATCCCGTACGCCTGCAAGCTGCTGTTCCAGGAGCTGCAGTCCATGAACATCATCCCCCGACTCAAACTGGCACGCTACAACGAGTGACCCAGTGGAAGTGAGTGAAAGGTTGAGAGATAGTATTTACAAAGGAACAGAAGAAGAAACAATCTAAAGCAGATTGACATTTTTGTTGTTGGTGACCACACACCCAAACAATGTGAAGGTTCTCATTTCTGTTGATACTTTCCAAACATTATGTTTTTGTATATGTTCATAATAAACACGAAAAAAAAATTACACAATCCGCTGCTGAGTGTTTGTTGAAATTCAAAGTACAAAAACCTAAAACGATTGTTAAAATTGTTGCCAATTGATTCTGTCTAATCATTAATTAAGTAATATTTGCACCTGTATGGTTTTAGAGCTTGATGGCATGATAGGCTTAATATATCGACTTTTAATTACAATATTTACACTTTATTTGTTGCCTGATCCGGTCCATTAGAATGAATCGGTTGCCCATAAAACCTTTTGAATGAGTTTAGTTTGTGGTGTTTTTTTGTTTGTATTTATAAACTGAGATGAAGACATCCCTCCTGTAGATGTGCAGACAGCTGGATGCTCGGTGAGGACTTACTGTATACAAACAAGCGCCACTTTTGTGGTTTACATCAATGGGAAGAGAAAGTAGCTTTGAGTCATACGGTTTCCTCTTTAGGACCAAAGCCTTAATGCCACCAACATGTCGTATATAGCGTAACAGTACCCCCCACTCGCACATACACACACAACTCAATTGGGGCCTTTTCACTGAACAAAAGCAGTACACATCCGTTTGTGCGGGCTGAGTGGAAGAGGCTCTTTTGGTGGCTGCACCTGTCCTTTTTTATGAGCCTCTAATAAGCAGATAACTGTGTCTTCCACTGAGGGAGATACAGACTCCACCTTCTCCTTATTTGACTGAAATTAATTAGATCCTCCTTTTGAGGTCACGGCTGTGCATTAGCCACCATTTAGCCCTTTGAATGGTGCTCTCATTAGTGGGCTGTTAACGTACAGATTTGTTGTTTAATCCTTTCTTAGACACCAAGAGAATTTACAGATAATAGGAAATGATTAAAATGTTATGATGAACAGTTTCTTTTACATAATTCCAAAGTCCTTTTGACCTGTCACTCATTGAGCTGCTTCTTTCTTCCCACATGAGTCTGAAAGGACGCACAGACCTGCTCTAACTAAGTATGACCCTGTGTACAGTTTCCCATGTGATGTTACTGCCACCCTGTCCCACACGTGCTCACAGGTGGCTGCACGGTGTCTGTGTGTCGGTGAGTAGCAGCAGTGGTGCCCACGCCTGCGCACTGGTAGAGAAAGTCCTCCTTTGCTATCCGTGGTGTGGTGAGTAATTCAGCCATAATCCGCCTTTCTCCTCTCCCCTCTTCTTTCCCCTCTCCTCTCCCCCTCTCCTGTGGTTCCATTCATATTCTAATCACAGCTTTCGCTTCTCCAGCTCTCAGGCACTCCATCAGAGCCCTCCCAGCCTCGGGCTTTGCACTTTTACTTCCCCCCCTTTGTGACCGTTCCCTCTTCTGAGAGGCACACCAAAAATAAGGTTGCCACAGCGAAAGAGTGAGTGAAAAACAGGTGAAAATCCACCATCAAAAATCCACATTGGTGCAGTTTTTCCAATGTTTGATTGTGTGCCTGAGAACACGATGGCTCGAATCAAAAAAGTTATCCTAAAGATTGTTAATGGTTGAAGGAGGTGATAAACTCACCAAATGCAACAAGTGTCCATGGGATGTGAAATGTGAATTAAAATGAGAAGGAAAAGCAGGAGCGGCAGTTGTGTAGGCATGTATGTTTATATGGAGCTCTGGGGTGTATAAAAACGTATTAAATGCCATAATGGAAGACGGGGAGGCCACAGTGTTAAGACTGCGTAGATCTAAGCCTCTTTTTTTTTCGTTGGGAGGGAGCTTTTCTTATTCAAAACAGCTCCACAAAAGACTTCCAGTGAGCCTTGCCACATCCCCATCTGACTTGGGGCCATTCATCAGCCTTCCAAGCCTATCAATGACATGTCCCCATCAGGGCTCCTATAAAATCAGCCCCTTTCCCATGAAACATCAGCAAACATTTTGACGGGTCTGGCTTTCCCCCCGCTGGATTTCTGGAGTCTCTACCCCCCCCTTTCCTCCCTTATTCCCACCTCCCCCCTTATTCTCCGCCAACACCACCCTCTCTGGGCGAACCTCAGATCCTCAACATCTCCTGTGACGGGCAGTGGTCACGGAAACACACTGCGAGACAAGGGGAGAGCCGCTGAGGAGGGGGAAACGTGCACTAAGCCATTTTCTTGGAGGAGCCAGTGTCGTTGATGGGAAGAGGATGCATTGCGGGCTGCTGGAGGAGCCTGATATGGATTCCACAGGTCAGTCGTCTTATTCCGCTCTGCTTTGTCTGGATGTGTTGAGGGAACCAGCAGAAATGTTGTGTGAGCTTCTGCTGATGCTCTTCTGGAGGTCTCACACTTTCAATGCAGTCAGGAACTGTCCGGATGCTCGGCCGATGATTTTTCTCACGGTTTTCTCACTTGTTTCCTTTGAATTTTAATTTCCTAAATTATTTATGAATGACTGTTTTTGGTCACGCACATTTATCAGAAGTGCTGTTATGTTATAAGTGTTTCACTTGTTGCTTAATATATAAGTCACAGAAAGCAGGGAATTGCTATTAGATCTTTCAGTTGTGGCTCGGTCCAGTGGCTTCTAGTTTTTTACAGTTAAACCAACTTTAATGATCTTCGTTCATCATAATTAACAGTAGTAACAAATGCCCATAGAGGTTCAAAGTTATCTGTATTTGCTCTTCAGCTTATTTTTAAGTTTTGCTTAAGATTGGAACACTAAAGCAAAACTGAACTTTATTAGTTAAGAATAATCATTAATATATATTTGTATTTTATCGTGTTGACATACCTAGATTATTTGGTTTTCAGGAACAATAATGATTAAGGCCCATGCTGATAAAAGATTAAAATAAAAACAGTTAAGTCGTTTCAATGTGTTAAAATGTGTTAAGGGGATTTATTGAGTTTGGTTTAAGACATTTAAAATTGTTTACATTCTTAAAAATCACATTTGTAGTGTGCTGGTGCAGTGGAGAGTAGTTTAGCCCAGAATGTGTTAATAAATGAGAGAAGGTCCGTTTCACTTGTTGATCAAATTTAATCCAATTATTTAGATCCCATACTTATCTGTCCCTGTGGCAAATGAAGCGTAAGATCTGAGCCTCTGTGGAGAATTACCTCCACTTCAGTGGATTCACCTTTTTTATACAGGCTTTTTCTTTAGCCATGAGCAAAGACTGCCGATAATGATGATGCATGTCAGTCGGCCGTCAGTGAGTCACTAGAGTTACATTTCAAATGCAAAGGCTGTTTTATAATTGTTTAACATGCATTGTGTTTGGCGAGGAAAATACTGTTAGTCAGTTAGTAATGTGGGATGTGATGATAATAACAAACATTAATTAAAATCAATAAATAGTACATTTCTAATCATAAAATGTCACTACCATGGAGAGAAAACACTTGTTCCCTTTTCAGCGTGCCAGTTTTTATTTTCTGCTGTGCAGGGATGAGACATTTTGACCTCGTCTCGCAGCACATGCTGAACATCGAGCTGTAGATAACCCATCCCTCGTGTAAACTTTAAAACTTTTAAATATCTGCGACCTCCTCATGGGCTGCACCAACAGGTCGTCCTGCAAGGAGTCTGTCCTAGCAACAGCTGCTATATTTATGGTTGTCAGCTCACATGCAGAAAAAATAAGATTTAAAGAAATGTAATGTTTTTATTTTGTTAAAAGTAACATGTTGAGTACTGTATGTGCTGTGTTAACTTCCGAGGTAGTTTAGGCTGCTAATTTTAGGTTACTTAACATTTTATTCACCAGATTTAGTGGTAAATATAATACTTTTTAATCTATTTCTCTGTTTAGGACAAATACCCAAGTAATAGTGTCTAATTAGCGTCTTATTACAATACAACAATGAAAACACAACATTTTGCATTAATATAAACAAGAATAATAGTATTAATGTCCAATGCCCTTCCTAATTACACTTGTCAAATAAAGTTTGTATAACTAATACAACCAGAATTTTAAATGGATTTCCACTCTACGTATCAGGCTGTTTCTACATGAAAGCTTTGGTGATTTGCTGCAGCCTGCTCACAGAAAGCACACCAGTTGAGCTATTTTTAAGTAGAAATTAAAACGGGACAATGGCCTCTATTCCACCACTCTGCCTCAGTAATGTGCGCAGGCTCTTTTAAGAGAGTGTGTACTCTCGTAGTCTCCTGGGAACAATGCTGGATTCCTGCCGTCCTGGTGAAAACATTTCAAATAGAGCAATGGCCGCACCGCTGCCTATACAATTGATTGTTGTCAGCTCGCCCTGTCACATTACCAACAGTTAAAGTGTCCTGTATAGCTAGTGATTTGCACTGTTTATGTAAATACAGCTTTGGATCTATTATACTGTGGACAAAATGAGTTCACCTCAGGAAGTGAGTTTTTTTAACAGTGTCAGTTTCAACGATATTTTATACAAAGAAATTGAAAAACTGCTATTAACTGTTTGAGCCAAATTAAAATTAAAAGGCCTGTCGGCACATATTTAAATATCTTATTATTTTCGACTAGTTTCAAATAAACATGTCTCCCGTCCTGGAAGAGGTAACCCTCCTCTGTTGCTCTCCCCCGAGGTTTCTTCCATTTCCCCCATTAACTGTGGGGTTTCTTTGGACGTTTTTCCTTGTCCGATGTGAGGGTCTAAGGACAGAGGGTGTCTTATTCGTAATTCATATTCTGTAAGAACTGTAAAGTCCCCTGAGACTAGTGTAAGGTCTGTGATATTGGGATATATAAATAAACTTTGATTGATTGACAAACATAAAATCGTTTTTTGAGTTTACTAAGAGGCGACAATTTGTGCAGCTCTGTGATCTGTGGTCCTTCATGTCTTTTTTAGAGAGTTGGATTGAACGATGCCTCAACGAGAGTGAGAGCAAGCGATACTCCAGTCACACGTCTCTGGGGAACATGTCCAATGATGAACGTAAGCAGGACGAACACTGTTACACTAAAACCACTGACTTCACATCTCATAGCTGCTGTTTATCCATTAATACAATAAGTGTCATTTAATGATGACAGTTTCTATTATTGTGTCCGTTACACACACTTTCAATGGTGCTATATTTGTGACTGTAATTTGACATGAATAACTACGTTTTCATCCCTAAATCCTAAATGTGACGTGTGTTACAGATGAAGAAAAAGAAAACAACAGAGCCTCTAAACCACATTCGACACCGGCTACTCTTGAATGGTAAGTTACAAAAAGATATTTGTGTATATGTCTTTCAGTCGGATGAAAAACTTTAAGTGGAAAATTGTGAACAACAAAAAAACAACAATCTATGTCAAACAGCAGTAATCAAATGTAAAATGATGTAGGGAAGTCTTTGAATAAGTATTACTAAAGCTTCTATTCTCCAGATGAAATGTAAAACACTTGTGCTGAATATGCTATATATCCTTATAATTTTCAGTCATGCTTGATACCAAATTTGCCTCCTTGGTTCCCCGTATGTTTGCACATGGTGAGCAAATGTAGTATTTTGAAAATAAATCCTAATAACAAAGTCTTCAGTCTTATCATGATAATATAGGAGATGATTTTATTCTTATCTTTCCAAATGGGGAAGTTTGATGTGTCCTATCATAGAAAGATCTTATGCAAACAGTCTTAATGAGAAGAGCAGCTTTGACATGTATCAGATCTTTGTCCTCTGCTTGTATGAAATACAAACCCCACACATGCCTGTAGTTCATATCTTTCTGTCTGTTGCACTGCCCCATGACCAGTGACACCATTTACTAATAGTATTCAAAAAGCACATGGTCTAATGAATATTTATGCTGATTTAAGCTGCACTGCAGGGGGCTGAAACCCAGCGTGAGGAACATGAGTTGGGTCAATGTACCTTTTTAAAGAGAAGCATTATAGACATAAATGATGCTATAAGTGGCCTTTATGATAGTTTCACTCCGCATATAGAGACTTTTTTTTCTTTTGAGTGAAATTAAATACAGAAAAAATTACATTTTAAAAAGAAAAACCTCACAATACCTCTACATTTGCAACCATAATTTTTAACTGATGTTTGCGTTTTCATTGTAAAACCAGAAATAATATATTTGTTCCTTGGACGGCTTGGCCACTATTTGTTTTTGAGTTTGAGAAAGTCACTAAAATTAGGTTTATGTATTTAACAAGATCAATAGAGACTAGCCATTCATGAATAAACCAGTATTATGAAATACAAAGAAAAACTGAAAACATAAAAAAATGTTTCAGAAGACGAAGTAGAAGTCATAACTCTGATAACGACAGGAACGGCCTCTGACAGCTTTTATGTCCAGCAAGAACAAATATTAGATTTATTAAGAACTGAGCAATGAAGTTACACGAGCTCAGAAGGCAGAGAAAACATTGAAATCAGCATTGTACTATTCAATGATCTGAAAACAACTTGAAAAAATTGTGAAATTAAGTTCCTTGGTGTGGTTTTAGACCACAAAATCAGCTGGAAACCTCATATCACTCATGTAAAAGCAAAACTGGCTAAAACCATCGCAATTTTGGGAAAAGCCAGACACATTCTGGACTACAACTCATTGTATACTCTATATAACACACTAATATTGCCATATCGGATTTACTGTGTGGAGATTTGGGGAAACACGTACAAAACCAACCTACAGCCGTTAAGTACATTACAAAAAAGGCCTATAAGAGTTATCAATAATGTTGGATATCTTGAACACACTAATGTATTATTTTTGAAGTCACACATATTGAAGTTCATTGATCTGGTTAAATTTAAAACGGCACAAATCATGTACAGAGCAAGACATAATCTACTTCCTAGGAAATTAAAAAAATTGTTCGTAGACAGAGAGGGTGGGTATAATTTGAGAGGAAATCTACATTTTAAACAACTCAAGGTCAGTCTGTTTTTCACATTTATTATTATTTTTTTTTTTTAAATCTGTTCGAAATAAAGATGGAAATTAAATTAAATGAAGATACTAACACACATGTTTTATATTTATTTTAAATGTAAGTAATGATGCAGGTGAGATGGTGGCAGGGTTTAATATTGACTGCATTGAATATAGCAACTTTATGTAGTTTGTTAACGCTCTGAAGATCCAGACTCTGTGTATTCTAGCATTTTTACAAAATGGACGTTACATGTATTAAAACTAACAGGGCCCCTCATACTATGAACATATTTGATTAATAAGTGAAGGAGTTGTTCCTAACATTTAAAAAAACAACATATACGCTCATTGTAAAATATGTCAGCCATGTTATATTTTAAATCACTACAGACCTATTTGCAGTTTTTTTTGCAGCAGAGATTTTCTTCTAACTGCGTTATCTGCCGTTTGAATTGAGTAAAAATGCAGATGATGTGTTAGGGGCTGTCTTTACTAATACAAACTGTAGAAAAGATTTCAAAACCATAAATGATACAAAAAATCCATCTTTTACCAAATCTGCCACAAAACAAGTGACATGTTTAAAGGAGGGAAATACACATCAGAAATCACAGCAATTATACTGGTGTTCCTCAAGGCTCATATTTGGGTCAATCCCTATTTGATTTATTCTCATTTTGTTGTTCCTGCAAGGAGTTACACAGACAATGTGATTAAATATGTTTGCAATGATCCTTATTTACGGCTAGTTGACAAGCCTGTCAGCATGTTTGTAGCAGGAAACACAGCACGCATTCAGATGTTTTTTTGAGGCTTCAAAACTGCATTGAGTTTTTACTTTGTTAGGGAAATACTGCAAATACAACTTCCACAATCACAGATCTGACTATCTGATGCATTATCAAGTGCTTTACAGAACAAAATATCCAAACATTGTAGATGGAGCACAATTAATAAAAACATTTAAAAAAAAAAAAAAAATGCATTTTTAAACTTTGGAACTGTAAATCAGGTGTCTCTTTCCGTCATATAAATTACTCTTAGCAAGTAGAAACAGTCATGAAATAAACAAAAACCAATCACTGCATCCATTTATTTAGCTGACGTTAATTTAATCTGGCTTTTTAAACATTTACACAGTGAAGTACTGCTTTTTTGTTGTGTACTGAACATCCTAATTATGATCCACAGGCTAGAAGAGAACTATGAGATAGCTGAAGGTGTGTGTATCCCCAGAAGTGCCCTCTACATGCACTACCTAGACTTCAGTGAGAAGCAAGACACGCAGCCTGTGAACGCAGCCAGCTTCGGAAAGGTACGATTTAAACAGAGATGAAGTAAAGATGAAGGTCTAGCAATCCTTCCCTTTGTCCATCCAGTTTAACTCGTGATCATTTTTAAAATGTCTGGATAACACATGAAACTACATCTCTAGTTTTTCTTGTGTTTTAGTGTACATATATATTATATGTGTTACACACTGTGAATTAAAAGTAATCAGAGCAAAATGACTCAGAATTAGAAATCTTTATTGGATGTTTTACGAAAGCAATAATCTCATGCGCTAAATCAGCCGTGAGCATCAGTGTGACCATTGCATGCCTGGCTTGGTTCTGTGCAGCTCTCTGGCTGCTGTTGAAGTAATATCCACTGCAGCTCAGTGTGACGCGAGCAAAGCTCTGCGCTCGCTCACTGAACACATAATCTCGAGCCAAAGGAGATGTGCTTTGGTCTGTTCCCACAACCCCAAGAAGTTCCTCAGCCTTGCTACCCCCAGCCATCCCGGTACCCTGGACTCAGGCCCCAACCCCCAACCCTGCCCACCCCCACCCCTCCGCAGCTCCTGTCGGAAGATATTGAAAAAGAGAAGGGGCCTGGATTAATGTGTAATTAAAGGAAATTTGGAAGGGTGAGATGTTGCGGAATGTTAGATCAGTGGCTGGAGCAGTGTGGGGTGTCCTTTAGGAAGGCTTCATTGATTCAGGACAAACAAACGAGAGAGGGCCCGGACTGCCTCCCTGTCTGCTCATTTATCAAGCGGGGCCTGACAGAAACTTCACAGCTTGGCCTCTTTTTTCATCCCACACAATGGAGAGCTACACTGTTTGCTAAAGTTTCTGCACCATGAGTTGGACCAAGGAGCCAATCTCTTTGGACAAAAAGAGAGGAAAGGAAGAAGGAGGGAGTGAAGAAGAGAAAGAGAGTGAGAAGGAGAGAGGACGGGTGGGTGGACAGATGAGGGGAGACTGTTGATATAGGGAAAAAGTAATACCCCTGGATGTCATAAATGGTTGGCTCTCAAAGCTTGTGTTCTCCTCTCAGACCTCCCTGTGGATACAGCGCTGAGACTTTAATGTTGTGCAAACTTTATCAGGCAAAAATACACTCACAAATGTACATTTTATAAAGATCTTATTGTATGGCTCCTTTTATCACTTGTATCCATATTTATATTATAATAGTATAATTTTTTTTCTTTACTTTCATGAATTACTTAGAATGAATTTGGTGTAACCTTGCACTCTTTAGTTAAAGCACACTGACTAACGTTTTCTCTCCTACACCGAACAGATCATAAGGCAACAGTTTCCAGCATTAACTACCCGAAGACTGGGGACAAGAGGGCAGTCTAAGTAAGTTGTTCTTTTTACATATTTCTCACTTATTATCAGACCCTCTCCCCAAAAACTGAGAACAATTTCAATCAAACATGAAAATGCAGCAACAGAACATATCAAATGAAATAAATATTAACAGTTTAACACAAACAAGTTGTCAAGCCTTAGATTGAAGTAACACAGGATAACAACACGAACAAATAATGTTGTAATATATTTGTACAGAATATCTACACTTTCTTAACCAGAGTCAAAGCATTCACCACATGTAATGTTGGTTAAGATCTGAAGTTGTTTTTAATAAGATTATTTTGTTCTTTCAAAATATATAGAGAGAAATCAGAGAGCAAGATCAAATCCTATGAAACGAACCTTTTCTACAAATGTATAAAGCATTCTAACAAATGTATTAGTTGGATATAAATGTGGTAAATGCTTGTATGCTGCTCGTGCTCTTTCTGCATGTCATGTATTTTTGCTATGTATATAAATGTCATGTTCTTGTATGTTGTATGTGAGGGCACTGCGGATGGAAATTAGCTTAAAGCTAAAAATCCGGCTCATTTACGCTTGTAAGCATTGTTTTGTTTTAAAGTGTTCATGATGTGCACTGTCCCGGTTCAAATTCAATTTCTAAAAGCGTTTTTTTCCTTTTCATTGCTTTTTTTAGCCCAGTTTTCTAAAGCTGCAGTTTGAAGTGTTTGTACTTAGAAGATGTTATTCAAGCGTTCCCCCTCTGCTCTCCTCAGGTACCACTACTACGGCATAGCGGTGAAGGAGTCCTCTCAGTATTACGATGTGATGTACTCCAAAAAGGGAGCTGCGTGGGTGAACGAGACGGGGAAGAAAGAGGTCACAAAGCAGACAGTGGCGTATTCACCGCGCTCCAAACTGGGGACACTCCTGCCAGAGTTTCCAAATGTCAAAGACCTAAATTTGCCCGCCAACCTGTCAGAAGAGAGGGTAAACAGGAGTTTTAAAAGTCCATCCTTACAGCAACCCCCCTTCTCCCCAACTCTCCCTGCCATCTCACCATCTCTGCGCCCCCTCTGGCTCCAGCCTTTTATCTGCCGGGACCTTCACAGGGTTTGCATTTAGAGAAGGACCTTGAGGATTTATATGCTGGCTCCTCACTAACTCTTAATCTTTGGGGGAGATAATAAGATCTAGCAACGAACAAAGGATAGGCACTAGCTGTCCGGCTTTTAAAGAGGGGCCATGATTTTAAATGGTTTGTGTTTTGCTGATCTCTAAAGCTCGTTTTATATTACTCGGCTCCAGCCTAGACCTGTAACATGTATTTATTGGTTCTCATGCTTTGTACAAGATTTATTCTCTTGTTTTTCTACTGCTCTTTTTACTTTTCCCAAACAGATAAAAGCTGTTAAGTTTGTGATGCAATTAGATTAATCCTGCGTTGTTACCCACAGGTGTCAACCTTCATCATGATGTACAGAACGCACTGTCAGAGGATACTGGACACTGTTATTAGAGCCAACTTCGATGAGGCAAGTTACTCCCCTTTTCAAACCATTTCAACAAACAGTTTGATTCTATTTTATGAATTCCAATAGATGTCAATGTTAAAAGAAGACCCTTTATTTCCTGTAGTATTGACTATCATGTTGTGTGTGTTACTTTCAGGTCCAAAGCTTCTTGCTGCACTTCTGGCAGGGCATGCCCCCCCACATGCTCCCTGTCCTCGGCTCCAACACCGTGGTGAACATAGTCGGTGTTTGTGACTCCATCCTCTACAAGGCCATCTCTGGGGTGCTGATGCCCACCGTCCTGCAAGCACTGCCTGATAGGTGAGCACCTGTTGAGAAACCTTCACTCTAAAATTGTGTTACATTTTCTGTTACTAAAACTGGATAGGATGTATGGATGTCTTTTACTGCTCTGACTTCATAGCATTTATAGACATTTGTTTTGCAGTCTGAACTCCAGCTGCTGCATTAACGTAATGCCATGGTTGAGATTCAGTTTGGTAATTTAAGCTGTTTACCAAACATTAGGCTGCCTAGCAGTTTTTCCTTCATAACAATAATACAATTTACTTCCAAGGCTCACTTCTTGCTGTACTATACCTTTTACTATTTAATACTGTTAAATAAGCAGCATAATATATGATGTGTACCATTGTGTAAAACACAGTGTTCATTGCAGTTACATAGCATGTCTTTCTCATGGTCTGCATGAACACCAGTCGGGTTCATTTCAAAAAAGTGAAAGGGTTTGCTGTGGTCTGATTCTTTGAGTATTTTTGAATACGTAGCTTATTGAAAATGTAATTGTTACTGCTGAAATTATAAGTTAAAACCTCAGTTTGACGAAACGTATTAATTGTCAAAAAGAAATTCAGGCATAATCAACATAAATGACCTGGACTCCTAAATCGAGCTGTTTTTCTCTATCACATGTGAAATTAAACTAAATATCATTGTTTTGTGGAAAAGTCCTCATCTTTTTTATTTTTACTATTTTTTTATATTTATCAAATATTATACATATATTTATATATATATACATATACTGAGATCTTTGGTATGTTATAAGTGTGTGTATTGTTTGCAACCTGATGCATTAAAGACTAAAAACATAGCATTAGCTGCTCACCAAAGCTGGGCGCGCTGTGGAGGGTCATATCCCGGATGACTCTGGTACCAAAGCACGACCACATGAGCAGGAACTGTTAGGCCACCCGGGCCTCTTCGCTGCCACCAAGTCTGTCAATACATAAACATTGACAGACTTGATACAGGGAATAAATGGCCATTATTAATATTCTTTATGGTTTTAATAATGTTTCTGTTTTCTCTCATCCACACAGTTTGACTCAGGTTATTCGAAAATTTGCCAAACAACTTGATGAGTGGCTCAAAATAGCACTTCACGAACTTCCTGAAAACCTGAGGAATATCAAATTTGAATGTAACTATAACATCACATCTCAACATAATGTACTTCTTAAGAATGTTATTTTAAAACAGAAATGTTACATGATAACAATACTAACCATGTTTTTCTTGTTTTCAGTATCAAGGAGATTTTCCCAGATTCTAAAGCGGCAAACATCATTAAACCATCTCTGTCAGGTGCATATCTTGTTCTGAATGTTTTTTTAATAAAATCCATATGAACAAACAGAGCTGATAAGGGATATGGGTATGCTCGTGTTGGTAATATTGTCGATTTATCTGTCCCCAGGCGTCTCGGACTGTGATAAACAGTACCGACATTACCTTTCAAATGCTGGAGGACTGGAGGAATGTGGACTTGAACAGCATCACTAAGCAGACACTTTACACCATGGAGGACTCACAAGATGATCACAGGCAGCTTATTATCCACTGTAAGTCCACGCTTTAAACTGACTCTAACACACCCAGCCAGAATGACACTCTACTGCCACGCAGAGTGACAATCCTTCCCACGACCGGCGGAGCCAAAGCATTAATGATGGAGAGCAAAAGGTTAGACAAGTTTGCTCTCCCCTGAAACACCCTGCAGAGCATCTCCAATTCACTCCGGCATCACTCCTCTGAATCTGTCCTGATGGGGTCAGAGGTCAAAGGTCATGGAAGTTGGGAGTTTTTTTGTTTTAGAGTGATGTAAAACACCATTTAACCTGAGGATCTCTCTCCTGTCTCAGTGTATCAGGAGTTTGACCGTCTGTTGGAGGAGCAGTCTCCCATCGAGGCGTACATCGAGTGGCTGGACTCCATGGTGGACCGCTGTGTCGTCAAGGTCAGACAGCAAATACTTTTTTTTCACTCATTTTGATAAAGATTTGGGTTAAAACCTCGTCTGACTCAGCATTAACTTATTCACAAATAAAGTTAATATATTTTCAATGTTTGATACTACGAAGTGATTTTAGCTAAATGATTCAAGTGTTTGCGCAGCAGAAGTCCGATTATTCTGCCCTTAAAAAGACACCTGTGGCTGAAAGACACTCGTCTCTGCGTGTCTTTCTTACACAGAGGCACTTACGCTGCAATCCTCCCAGTTAATGATGTCTTCAAGCTTCCCATTTGCGTCCATTATGTGCCAGATATGGGCTTGTAAAATCTGGTCGCCCTGGCAACGTCTTGGGCTGCTCAGACAATAGTTCAATAGGAAGGCGTGTCCCCGGGGGCAAATTAAATAGTTGACTTGTTGACATGTTTTTCGTTCCTGAGGGTTAAGCCCCAATGCGGACCCAGGGGTTAATTCTACCCCGGCTTCCCAACCCTTCCCCCTCCTTTCTCATGGAAATGTTCTCTCTCTCTAGGTGGCAGCGAAGAGGCCCGGGTGCCTGAAGAAGGTGGCCCAACAGTTCCTGCTCATGTGGTCGTGCTTTGGTACCAGAGTCATCCGGGATATGACCCTCCACAGCGCGCCCAGCTTTGGTGAGCAGCTAATGCTATGTTTTTAGTCTTTAATGCATCAGGTTGCAAACAATACACACACTTATAACATACCAAAGATCTCAGTGGTAAAACATGTGTTAAGCAACAACATAACTTCTTCAATTGCAAATAAAGAGTTTCTTCTTCTATAACAGGCTCTGTGAATAAAACCGTCCACTATTAAGGCTTGTGTATCCCTTAAATCAAAATATCATCGTTGAATCTTGCTTTTCTTATGGCAGAATTATTTTAATTTTTTTCACGAGGCAACACTTTTGTAATTTAGATTATGCGTAACATTAATGGACCAACCTTCCTATTACATAACTGTATATGATAATTTTTTTGCTGAGCATCAATACTAAATTATATTAAATTAAAGATTGAATATCGCTTATCCAGGGATTTTATACCTTTTATACATCCCAGCTAAAGATCTTTTTGGTAAGCTGCAACACCGAAACGTTGTAAAAAGCAGTGTTGAACTATAAACGTGTGCATATTTACTATTTCTAGGGATCAGCAGCAACAAATAAACATTTCTTAATTCTTTTTTAAATTGTATTGTTCTCAGTTCTCAAATAAGGAAAGAGGAGAAACAAATAAAATGGCTGCTCTAATAGCTTGTTGATTGTATTAAGAGAAGAGTAGTTCAAATAAAATGGCGTGTCTTTCCTCTGCGTGGCCCGGTCTGTGAATATCAAAGACACAGCTGGTTGCAGTGTTTTGATAAAGCAGGTCTCTGTGCACAAACAGCTAATTAACAAAAGGCGCCCCTCCCCTCTCCCGATGTGTTTGCCTGTATTTTCCATTTTATGACCGGTCAGTGTTACACCCCTCTCCCTTGAATGGCCACAAGTTTTTATTATGCGCACGGCAGCGGCAGGGACCCGCACAATGACACAATTGTGACACTTCCCTCACATGCCACAGTCTCCTCTTCCGTGTGACCCCGGGGTCAGCTGACATATTTCTGGCACTGACTCGGTACACGGAAACAAGCGTACGCGCTTCTTTTTAATAACAGCCGCCCTCATGTCACTCTGCAGGATGTGGTGTCATCGCTCAGATGCTTTTAGAATCGCTTTAGTTGTAACAGCCGTCATCATTTATGACCATAATAAAGATGCAAGGATTAGTTGATTAATGGCAAATGTAGTTACGAAGATTTTTGGTTTTATTTGATGTCCACCTTTTTAAGACATCACCTTGGACTTTCAGAGTCTAGGACAGACTTTTTTTAACTTATTTCTGCCATTCAATAGACCAACATGTAATAGATAAATAGATAAGGGAACATCCTTTGTCACACTGTGTGTTTTTTACAAAAAAATAACTTCTAAAACAAGTGTGAGTCGTCTTCCTTCTGTATATAACTAGTCCTGTCTTCTGTACGCAGGGTCCTTCCACCTGATCCATCTCATGTTTGATGATTATGTGCTCTACCTGCTGGAGTCCCTGCACTGCCAGGAGAGAGCCATCGAGCTCATGAGGGCCATGAAGGCAGAGGGCAGCACAGGTGAGATCATTAATGACAGTATAGCTGCAAACATGCCTTGCAGGGTAGTAGAATAAGTGGATTGTATCACTCAAACGGTCCTAGCATGATGCGCTGTTATTTGTTGAAATCGTTGGCATGCTTTTTTCACTTAGATTTGTGTCGATTTACTTTGTTGTGGGGACTTTATTCAGTTTGTCACTTTATTTTGTACACAGTTCATATGCTTTGCCCCCATATGTGTGTTTTCCTTGTACACATTCAGCTACCACTCACAAAGAGTTTAACCCTTCAAAGTAATAATTATTGTACATGAGAATAATATTTGGCTCAAACAAACTGTACTAAAAACAGCTGTCAAAAAAGATGAGGATAAAATAAAGACAATTTAAGAATATAAATGTTGTTGTCCAGGAAATAAATGGGAGTAGCTGAGAAAGCACAAGTGGTGGGATTTTAGGGAATTTTGAGTGATGAGAGAGTAACTTCATATTTTTTTATTTGATAAGACTGTCTAATAGTCTGTCCTCTCTTGACTCCTTCAGCAGAGAGAGAGGAGGAATTCCCGGTGAAAGAACCCACCCCCACCTCCCCCTCTCCAGGATCCTTCTCTCCCGCTCGCTCGGTGCACTCAGTGGGCGTTTCCTCGGCCAGCTCCCCCACTGCAGCCGTGTCCCCGGAGTTCAGCGGGGTCCCCACCACCACAGGTGAGACCCTCCACTCAGTCACACACAGACATGCTCTCACCGCACATAGCTTCTTGGAGCCAACACATTTTCTTTGTGTCCGTATATGTGTCTACCAGGCGCTGTTCAGTCATATACCTGGTCCCTTACATACACAGTGACAACAGCCGGCGGCTCCACTCCTGAGGCCGGACAGCAGCTGTCCTGCATGAGGAACAGCGCTCCAGTCCCCCCACCATCCTCCACCCACCGCCTGCCTGTGTACAGAGAGGAGCATGGGTAATTATTATGATTTAAGCATTAAATTATTTGTATTTATATGTTGGGAAATTTCTTTAATGGGTTTTAACTTTCTTACCTCATTCCAGGTATACTGGTAGCTACAACTATGGAAGCTACGCCAACCAGCACCCTCACTCCATCCAGAGCCAGTATCCCAGTCTGGCCCATGATCCGGCGATCCCACCCCCCCTCCACTACTCCGCCTACCACCGCTCTTCTGCACAGGTCAGTACCAGGCACCTTCATTACAATGAACATAAAGCATACATTAAAGCAAGAGTCCTTATTCCAATATTGTACATGATTAATAGTACTGACATATTATCACCAACATTTACTCAAACATTCAAAGGTAAAACAATTGATAGATTGTATCCTAACGAAAAGGTTGGCATTCAGTAGTTTTTACAAAACAATGATACAAATAGGGCCTTAAGAGTAAAAACAAAACAATAGGACAAAATCCAGACAGTCAGAATGCTGTCAATATTAGTGTCTGTGGTGCTGGAAATATCACAAATGTAACATAATTAAGAAGTAATTACATAATACAGTGCAGGAATAATGATTACAATTTATAATATAAAATACAAATGAAATTACAGTTTATAACTGGATACAAATGTGGTTTGTGCAAAGCCTAACTTCACAAGTAACTGACCAACAGTTCAGCAGCATACTTAAGATTGTGTTTCAAATATGAAACTTAGTAACCGTAGTTGTCAGGTAAAATGTGATAGAGAAAGTGTTCAATCTTTATCTCTGAAATGTCATGGAGTAGAAGTATAAAGTTGCATTTAATGGGATTACTTAAATTAAATAGGTGTTACCTACATTTTAACTGTTGATTTCTCACTGGCGAGATTAGCACCTTGTTTAAATTGCAGATAAGGATGATGTCCATAGAGAGAGATGAAAATGAGTGTGACATTACTCAATAACATAAAACAAATGTTTCTGATGTTTGCAAAAATATCTGTGAATACGAGCGTGTGTCGACTAAGTGTTACTAATGGTTCAACTGAATGAGTCTACACTGCAGAGCAGTTTGCAATTGTGCTATGTTTGTTAATTATGATAAGATCAAATTGGAAGAAGAAGATAACAATGTGCAAAAATGTGCCCATTTGTTAGTATACAACATTTACATAAATATCTCAATATTAGAGAATTTGTGTGGAGGCTATGCTTTGAAGTCAGATGAAGACTGAAGATTTAAACAGGAGGAGGTGAGATGAGATTAAGACGCTGATTTTACAGCTCGTGTAGCGCCTGGAGTGAGTTTACTCTTTTGATGGTAATTTCCCGTGGAGGGCCCTCCAGCTGACATCAGCTGGGCCTCAGCGGTCGCAGTGTGTCTAACAGTCCAGAATCAGCCTCTCTACACAGCGGAAGCAGACAGAGAAAGGTGGCTTGGCCGGGCCAAGAGAGGCCCTGCTCTGTTACTCCTCTTTCCACTTCTCAATAGTCTCTTCATCTGTTTGAGCCAGTAGCCCGGAGCAGAGCAAGGGGGCGTTTATTAAAATATTGTTATTCAATGGTCTCTTTTCTGCTTGTGAACAAGAGGCAGCTGAGCCGTCTGTTCTGCTCTCTGACCTGCACTGACTGTCTTTTTCCATGCCATGATCCCTCATAATGGAATCAACTGTCGTGTTTATATTTAGTGAGAAAAGGAAAAGGGTGCTACTTCCACTTTTTTTTTTTAAGCCTGTCTGAGCTTAAATCGGGCACAATGCCTGTGCTTTGTCCGTGTGAGAGGTTGGGGATGGAGCTGAGATGAAAACAAAACCTTGTCGGATCCCCATCTGTTCAAAATATTGTTGTCATCTCGCAGATTTAGTCGGAGCTGTTTGGCATCAGTCACCAAAGGCAACAAAAATAACACCGGAAAACCACTCTTTCAGCGGAGCTAGAGTCTAATTTTCTTAAGTGGCTTAATTTTCTATTTCGACACTGGTACAACTTGTGAAGCAATTTCCCCTGACAGGAAATTACCATCAGCAGGGTCAGTTCACACCCAACGCTACAGAGCGAACAAAGCGTCCTATAAGATATTGGCTGGACTAAAGCTACCTTTGAGGACACTGCGGTCATGTCCTCTGTACGTGCTCTGGGAATATTTTGGTTTCAGCAAGTCAGAACTGCATGTTGAAGTTTGACTACTTTTATCCCGATTAATAAAGTAAAGGATCCCGTATTTCTACATTTGTTTATTCCTGGCAACATTTTGAAATTCATTAAAGGAATAGTTGATGTTTTGGGAAAGGCACTTTTTTGCCAACTTTTGATTGATTGAAGATTGATACCAATCTCATATCTGTTTATAGGGCTACATCCACCAGCTGATTATATTAGCTTAGCATAAAGACTGGCTTGTTGAATTGCCTTGTGTTGAAAGGTGCTATATAAATAAACTTGCCATGCCTTGCCTTGGAGACTCATGGAAACAGCTAGTTGAGCTTCAAAGGGTACAACGTTTGCTTTATCAGTTAGCTCATTAACTAATGTTGACTACTAACACACTGACACGTTGCATCTTATATCGTCTGTACGATGTAACATCCTGAGAGAAACCAGAACAAAAATGTGACCTTTCCTGATCAGTTGTTGCTCAGAGTTGTTGCTGTTCAGGTCCAGATTTGTTTTTTTAAATGAAATTGGCTGCCAAATCTGAACGTCTTAATATTCAATTACTTGATTCATTGATTATTCAAATCACTGATAATGAGTCTTATAGGATATTCTGATATCGTCGCTGCATATGCTAGGCTTCTCACAATCCTTAATGCCACTGCACCAGCATAACTTATTTCCTCTTCTCCTCCACAGTACCAGCTCAACGGCCAGATGGCTCGGATGGAGCCTTGCTTGATGGGCAGCACTCCTCGGTTGCACCCGGCACCTGTCGCCCCCCGGTGGCCAGATGTGTCGCCAGCTAACAGCTGTTACACCAGCCCACCTATGCATTCATCGCGCTATGCTGCCTCTGGTGACATGTACTCTCCCCTGGGCCCACGCAGGAACTCAGAGTACGAACACTCGCAGCATTTCCCCGGCTTTGCCTACATAAACGGGGAGGCCACCACAGGCTGGGCGAAATAAACTCAATCACTGCTGTGGACAGCCGTGAGCAACTCCAGGCCTTCCAAACGGGTGGATGCAAAGACTCTGAACACTTCCGATCAAGTACATCACAATAGGAGGACTAGAGAATGGAAAGTACCGATGCAAGGTATAAGGAATCATGGTATGGACGAACTGACAATTTGAAATGACTGATGATTGTGGTGTAACTTGTGCCGAGGTTTAATGACATTTCTTCAACACTTTTGCTCACTGCTGGAGGAAAATAATCATGTATGTTGAACCTGCAGCAAAATCATTTCACATGTGCAATGCTGCTGCCAAGCTGTGCCTTTTGTTTTAAGGAATGTACACCTCTGTTTCCCTCGTAATCAACAAAATATCCCATCAACACTCAGTCAGTTTGTCAATAACTGACAGATCAGTGTGCCGTAAGCTGTGTATCCTCAGTAAACCGCTGCATCCTCCCGTTGCTCAGCTATGTGCAGCATCCTGTCGTGGGCTCGCTGCAGCAAGTTGGTTTGCTGCAGGATGGATGATCTGCACTGCCTTAACGTTACCAGTTTATACAGCGGCACAAATCCAAGCATAACAAATCATAGGACAGATATAAACTCCTTGATCAGTGTGTTAAGGTGTCTCCATCTTGGATAGTTTTTTTTAATGATTGAATGCTGTGACTCAAAAACAACTGTGTGAGTGTATTCTGTCGCGAGCTTTTTTGCTGTTTTCCCGTGACAATATAAATATATATATATATATATATAGTATGTATTTTCTGTAACTTTGTAACATGGTGTATCCTTTATTTTCTATGTTACAATTGGTACTTTGTTCTCTGTTTTGTATGGTTAGTGAAAGATGCACTAACCTAGGTTTGTGTGTTTTATGATGCACTCAAAGCTACTGAGGACCTATTACCCTATGGGTATTTATAAAAAGGGAAATTATCAAAGTGTACAGTAACATAAAGTCTAGTCACTTTCTGTAAATAAAAGCACTGGAAACCGTCTGTGGTGACGATTTAAAATCTTTGTCAAATGTGTCTTTGTCCAAACGTTTTCTTGGTTCTTTTATAATCATGCACGAACATTTCCAAATGTTAGCAAAATTCAATTAAACACATTATTGTATCGGGTTAATTACCAAAATGAACGTCAGCACTAAAGTTAAGTCTTTGTTCTTTGATTTATTATATAATTGTATTTTAATGTTTGACTATAAAACAGCTTTAAATGTATTTTATTGATTTGTTATTTAAAATGTTACTTTAATTGACTAAATATGACATCTTTATTTCTAATGATGGAAAGGTCTATTTCACAATGCGTCTCTCCACTTTCAGCTTCCATCAAATTTCCAGTTCACACTTTGTTGTTGGAGAAAGAAAAACATTTTCTGAAGTCGTCTGAGCTGATTGTTGCTTCTCTCTCCTCATGCAGTGACAACACGGTGGGGGGCTGGGCCCGTGGAACAAGGGCCACACTGCAGAAAGAATTACATTTCTATAGAGAGAATTTCCTGCTGTGCTGGGGTCATTGCACCTCAGTCCCGTAACCTTTGACCTCTGACCCCTGCCGAAATTTGTATTTATTGGTACATAGATCCTCTGTGTTATGGCTCTCCAAAATCCTTTGGGATTCACAACCGACCAGATAAACCTGTTAATGCATAAAAAATGGCACCCCATCATTTTGGTATAATCAGCTGAGCTCAGTTTCAATATCCACGTGTTGAAGATTTCAGAGGGAGATTTAATGTTTTCGGTGTGTTTGCAACAGGACGTCCCTGTCAGCTGTGAGAAACATGTCCTGCATAACCAGTAGCTCTCATCTTTTATGTGCTTTAAAATAAATCTATAACTCAGATATTGAAGCGTATTTCTTAATATAAAAACAAAAAAGAAAATATTGAAAATGTAAGATTACAGACAAGTATAATTTCAACTTTCACATTGGGTTAGTGGTTAAACTCGCAATATATATCTGTAAAATGAGTGATGGTGTCAGTGGATTCATAAATACACCTGAATTAAAAAACGGATAAATTAAATTACCTCAGTTATTCCTGTTCATGGTCTTAATAGAAACTATGTTAAATATTTTAGGGAGGAAAACATATATATCTACTATCACAGTTATTGGCAGTTTAGATTCACAAATCCATGTCTTTGGACTGTGGAAGGAATATTACGTGGACAAAGAGAAGACATGCAAACTTAATGTTTTAAATGTGAGGCAACTGTATCCTGATCCCATTTGGTGGCATGTAAAGTACCACTGTTCACCAGTTAGTCATAAAGAGGTGTATTTTTCTGCAGCATCACATAACTGTGAAAAAGCAACTGTGGGATTTTATGAAAAGACTGAACTGCAGGATCCTCGCCTCATTCAGTGTTTACAATAAATTATTGTATTTAATTTCCCAAATCTCTGACTGGTCATTTTATAATTTTCTGGAAAGGAAAAATTACTTTAAAATAATTTCTTTCATTTTCAAATTCAAGATTAAGCCACACAGTAAATATACATGTCAAACTATTGTTGCGATTAAAATGTTTCCTGTCAAATGTATTTTAAAGTCATTTCAAAATGTGTGTTTTTACAAGACATTTCACAATGCTTCGGTCATTTTATCCAATATAAACTGTACGGAGTACAGACTTTTATACTAATTCATTCATTCTCCTTTCCTTTTTATGTATCTTGTGTTTTCCGCAAAAACCCAAAACACAAGTTACTTTTACAGCTATTCTTACACCTAGGCAACTTGTTCTACTTTTAGACAAATAATGTGTTTTTATACAATTTTGAGCACATTTTAAATTTAATTTATTGTATTTTGTATTTACTGCACTCGAGGATACATTCAAAGTTCTTGACATTTTCCGGATCGACTGGCCTTCATGTCTTAAAGTGATGATGGCCGGTCGTTTCTCTTTCCTGAGATGAGTCATTCTCGCCATAATATGATTTACAACAGTAGTCAAATAGAGTTATCCATTGTGCACTAAGCCTACCTCTGAACAACACAACTGATGGAAGTAATTCCACAAATTGACTCTTGACAAGGCACGTGTGTTAATTCAAAACCATTTCAGGTGACGACCTCATGAAGCTGACTGAGAGAAGCCACGAGTGTGCAAAGCTGTCATCAAGGCAAAAGGGGGCTACTTTGAAGAATGTAAAATAAAAATCATATTCTGGATTTTTTAACACTTTTTTGTTAACTAGATATACGTGTTCTTTCATAGTTTTGATGTCTTCAGTTTTAATCAACAAAGTAGAAAAAAATGTAAATAAACAAAAACCATTGAATGAGAAGGTGTGTCCGAACCTTTGACTGGTACTGCATGTGTGTAAAATAGACATGATATCAAGATTAGTCAATTTTAAACACAACGGTTATTGTAAATACAGGAATATCCCAACACCATTTGGTGCCTTCTAGAATATTCAGAATATGTATTTACATTGGGCTATTCTGCACTTATGAGTACTTTTTTGGTACATTTTGATGCTTAAAATAATGTACTTTTACTAAAGATTTTGAATGTAGGACTTTTACTTGTAAACCGTTATTTGTGCACAGAAGTATTGCTACTTTTACTTAAGTAAATACCATAGGTAAATACACATTTCGTCACCACTGCTGGAAACAAGGCTTTGAGTCAGTAAAATCTTAGGGTGTTTATTTGTGTCTATTATTTAATATATTATGCACAATATTGATTGGAGTATTTGAATACTATATATTTTTAATTTATCCTCCATTGCCCTGCAGTGGGACAACCCTGAAGTGATGGAGACGGTGGGGAGTTTCCCTGTTGACAGCAGCAGCAGCAGCAGCACACTGACTCCCTCACTCAGCTAGCCGGCCAGCTAGCTAGCTGCACCCTGCACCCTTTGGTCTACACGAAACTAACTACACTTTCACCAGATATCCACCATGGATTTAAATAATATTGTTTCACAACTTGAGAATACCAACGAGGAGGAAACCGAGAAGCTTCTGCTGCAGTACAATCGAGAGGTAAGTCTCGTTTTACGTGGACCAAAACAAACGACGGTGCTAACGTTAGCTAGCTAAACAACTAGCTTAGAGTTAGCTAAACATATTTAGCAGCCGAATGAGCTAAGATGTTTACACTTTCGTATGATATATGATAGCTGTATTGCATCGTTTAACATATCACACTAAACATATGAATGAGGCAACCCGGAGTTGTATGTTGTTTCCAACACCATCCTCCTGATAATGCTAATGCTGTCTGCTCACTAACTATATTACTGCTCGTAGAGTTAGCAATATTAGCATACTTTAGCTTCTTATTGGAGTTCTCTGGGAAATATGTATATTCGTTTCAAAGAGGCTGGGGTTTATTGTATTATACTTTGCATGTTAATTCAATATCTATGACCATTCAGGCTAAGTTGTTCGGTTCAATGAGCATCTTATATGTTTCAGAACAGTCACACCTTCAGTTTTGACCAAACGGAAGAGAGCCTGCGGATTGTAAGTACTACTTATTATCTGAGAGGTTGGTTATTAGATGAACACGGTGGCCCAGTTATGTTATTATCTATATCTGTGCTATTCTGTGTCATCTCAGAAGCTGTGCCAGGGCGTGTTGTCAGTTCTGGGCAGGCAGGTGCAGCCCAGCTGTCAGAAGACATGTCTGGAGACACTCCGCATCCTGTCCAGAGACAAGCGTGTCCTCGGCCCTGTAGCCACCAGGGAGGGCATGTTGATCCTGGGAGGACTGGCCAGGCTGAATCCTGGAGAAGAAGGAGATGAGAACCAGAAAAATGGTCTGGAAGACACCCAGTCAGAGGAGGAGGAGAGGGTGGTGGTGGAGGCCTTGAAGTGCCTATGCAATGTGGTTTATAACAGTCCTGCGGCTCAGCAGGTCTGTGTAGACGTGCAGCTTGCTCATGGCCTGTGTGCCATTCTGCACACGGCCCGCACATGGCACCATGAGGTGGGTCTCTTCACGCTGCGCCTGGTCTTCCTGCTGTCTGCACTGAGACCAGATGTGCGAGGGGTTTTTCGGAGAGAATTGCATGCTGTAAGACTACTGACGGAGGTCCTGGAGTTTACCCTAGATGTGAGCTGGGTTGGTCCCTATGAAGCTGCCCCTCCAGATCCACAGGCCCTGCCTATGCCTGCAGAAAACAATGAGAGAACAATGGAGGCACTCAAAGCCTTGTTCAACCTCACACTGTCTGACACTGGTGGTGAGGTGAGTTGATGATGGGTTGTACATCTGTTGACCGCTAGTCGTTTTTTTTTTTTTTCTGTTAATCATTATGTATGTAAGTGTAAAGAGCAGATCAAGTATGCATCATCAGAAAAGTAAATGTTTCTGTCTTATCCATTTAGTCAATTAAAGATTAGACTGTCCTGGTCCACAAGGATCATTCATCTGCTGCAACAACAGCAGAAACATTATATCTATCTCTTGGGGGTCAGACAAACCGACCAGACATCAAAGAACATGTCGGTTTGTTTTGCATCACTTCCCATGGCCTGTGTCTTAGCCAAATGTATGCACTTGAACACTTTGCAAACACCATAACCAAAGGCCAGCTAGCATGTGCATTCTGTGTCAGATGTACAGGCAATAAGTACACCGTAGTCTGTATTTGTCATTCAAAAAGGAAAACAGGAAGATCTTAGATTTAATACATAAAAGCAGTTTGTTGAACACTTTCACAGCACCCTCCCTTCTTTGCAGTTTGCTTGTTCCCTCACTGCAGCTTTTGTTCTCTTGCACTGATTTGCTTAAGCTGAACAGCCAAACAGGATGATGTTAACCATCAAAACAACCGGCTTAAGGTGTCACGGCCTTTAGTCATGTGACAGTGAGCCACTAAAACACAGCATTATGTTTGTACACCCGTGCTTTTCCCTTATATGACCAAATGTTCTGTTCATACTGCTCACACACAAAGGCCAAAATAAATGTATCATCCTGTGAATGAAATGAGACAGTATTTTGTTGATATCTTTTTGGTTTTTAAAGTAGTTATTAGGGCATAGTTTGTAGTTACAGATCATTTATGATAATCATTCTCCAAATTGGCTGTCTTGCCACATTTCATGCAATTTGGACCGAAGGCGACACATGACCGCCTCTGATACCGTGTAAGTCCTAATGACACCAAATGTAGGTGTTAGTTCTCAAGTTTGACCCTGCTCTCCTCTTTGACACTGTAGAAATCTAAGCTTCCTATTCCTTGTCCTTTTATAAATCTAGACTCAAAGCTTTGATCTCACTCTACCTCCTAGCTCTCCTCTTTTTGCACTTTAGACGAGCTGTGATGCCCCATAGATTTCTTGGCAGGTGTTTTTGCAGTTAGGCCTTATTGTCCATATCCTTATCCTTGTAGCGTAAGAACTTCTGTATCTAAGTGTTTTGCTTAACTTCTGAATATAACACTTTCTGCTTGAATTCATTTTTTTGTACATCCTTGATTTGATAGGAGGATGACCACCAGTTCCGAATCATCGCTGCCATCCTGCGTCATCTGCTGATGCTGAAGACTGAGACTGAGGATAAAACAGAGGAAGCTCACAGGTGGGATGTCTGTTAATATCTGAATCTGTTTTAGTCGTCTACACCCTGAATATTGAATGAAGGCACTCTGCTCGTTGAAACTTGTAAAACTGGTCAGACTCATTTGAAACGGATTTGCATTGAAAGTCACAGACTGACAAAGGGCTTTCACCGCTCAACACACTAACTTGTGTAGATGGTCTGATGGCAGACTTCCGTGCCGTTTGAAAAGCTACGATGTTTCTTTGGAGCCTTGTTGGGTGTTCTATCTTGTAGATGTTCTCAGCTGTCTTGCCACTGCAGCAGCAGCATCTTATTCACATGGTAATTTAATTCAGGAATGCAAAGAATCTGTGGCCATAGACCAAATTTAAAGAGTGTCGTATAAAAGAGACCGATGTTTCCCTTGACCTATCAACTCAATGGCTGAACAGGTCATGCGACTTTGGCCCATTGACCGACATGACTTTGTTAAGATACTATGACGTGTTTTATCTATACTGTAATTTGACTTGTTTTCATCATAGTTCTCAACATACCAGAAGTCGCGTTAACCGAATATTTTCCGTCTATGACGGAATTTTTCGAACAATGACGGAAAAATCTGAAAGCCGTCCGTCATTTTGACCGATTAGAACAAACTCAGAACAGCGCCAAAGTTTCCCCGCAGCGGGGCTCCGGTATTATGCCGTGTTATGCATGCCCTTCCAAAAGGAAATTATATAGTTTCCAAACTTAACTTTGCCGAACAGATCATTGAAATCTGTCTGAGTATTTGCTTTACGCTGTGCGCGCTCCCGCGAGGTGCGGTGGGCATGAATAACACAGCGCTAACAGTTCACGGACCGACAGGTGATGATGGATTTTGACGGAAATGTTACGATCCTGTCCGTCAAAATGACGGGCAGCGAAAAAGTCTAGCGCAACCTCTGCAACATACTATACTTTTTTTCTTCAGAATTACCAATAATTTTTTATGGCTTACTATATTATGATTTACATATTTTTCAACAGTCTATACTATGACTCTTTTAATTACATTTTTTAACATATACTTTTGAGCGCCTCTAAATGTGTCATCATTTGTCTCTTATTGGCTGTTGCAGGTCTACTCAGACAGTATATCAAAAAATCCCAACTAATGGATAAGACTCACGTTACAGACATATAACAGTTGATATATCTGCCCACAGTTTATTAGGCAGAACGTTTCGCTTACTAAACACAGCTGGGGATTGTGGGGGTGTTGAACAATATAAATATCTCTTCAACACGTTCTTTATTAACCTGTATTTCCTGTATATCGCTGTCCTGACAACATGGATGTGTGCAAATGCTTCACTCATAGCTCTGTGTAAGCCAAGAGCAAGAGATGATTCTCTACTTTGCCATGTGGGATCCTTTACTTGTGAAAATGACTCAAAGCTTTCATCTAATGTAGTCATCATCCTTTCTTCTTAAAGCTATTCTTGACTTATTTGTACTTCTTTAAGACAACAGAGTCTTTGGCAGTTCATTACCTTTTCATTTACTTGACTTTTAAACATCAAACATTTGGTATAGAAGACCAACTGCATCATAAATACTTGTTCTATTCATCTGCAGTCATGCCATCAACCTGCTGAACAACCTGCCTGTGTCCTGCCTGGACGTGTTAATCGACGTGCCTGTCCAGGGGGGCCTAGAGATGTACAGTGGGAAAAACTTGGATGCAATCCAGATGTTGATAGACTTCATGGCGAAAAGGATGGACAAGGTAAAGTTCATCCTCTGCAGCAAAGCCAGACAGAACTAATTCATCGACACTCCAGGAAACAGAGAGCTTAAATTCAAACTATGACACATTTTACATTTCTATACTCACTTGCAGCCAGTAATAGTACACCTTTTTATTGTGACAACTTGCATCTAATTGATATGTTAAAGTAGTGCTAGACCTGCACATCATTCAGTTTCTTTTCCACCCATCATGCACTCTGATCCGAAACCCTCCCCTGATTTAAAATGTATTCAGTGGTCCATCTTGCAGCCTGTGAAGTGTTTGTGGTTTGTGTCTCTCCAAGCAGGGCTCCAACTACAAAGAGGGTTTGACTCCGGTGCTCAGCCTGCTGACTGAAGGATCCAGACATCACAGGGAGATCCGCAGGTTCATCAAAGCTCAGGTACAGAACATTTAGACATGATAATAAAGTATGGTCAGAATCTGCCCTGCTGAAGTGACCCTGTGTGCGTTCATGAGTCAGGGTTTGATTGTATTGACAGAAAAACAATAAACGCATAAATCAATCACCTGAACGTCTGGACCTTCAGGTACTTCCCCCGCTGAAAGACGTAAAGATCAGGCCAGAGATCGGCACCACCACCAGGAACAAGCTGGTGCGCCTTATGACACATGTGGACATGGGGGTGAAGCAGACGGCTGCAGAGTTTCTCTTTGTCCTCTGCAAAGAAAGCGGTGAGCAGTGGTCGGGGCATGGGAGGAACAGAGTGCAACCCTACAGATCAGAAAACATGAAGTGAGAGCAGGAATAACTTTGGTTTAGTTTGAGTTTCAGTTCTTTACACACAGCTCCAACACAAGTACTATCATGAGACATATTGGAGATATGTGAAATGGGACTCCCTGATAAGAACATCTGAAGCTTGAGAGTAGGGGCAGAAAGCATTTCAAATACATCTTTATTATCTGTTGAGTAGATTTCTTTAAAGCATGTTTTATACAATAACATTGGGAACCACCTAGGACTAACCAAATACCCTAAAAAGGAACTAACGTTGCTACTAAATGGTCCCAAAACATTCATTCCATCAGTTTTAACATTGGCTAAGATGCAGTACATGGAGACATACGGCAAGTGGAATTAATGTTGGATTAAAACTGGATTACAGAGCAGGGTTTGTAGTTTAGAAGTTAAGTGTGAATAATGAAGTAGTGAACTATCAGATGCATGCCTGCTGCGTTGCTATAGCTACCGCTAAGCTCATGCTCGCTCTAGATGTAACTTCACGATCTTGTGTATGTGTGTTGTTGTCTTGTAGTAGACAACCTGTTGAAGTACACAGGATATGGAAACGCAGCGGGACTCCTGGTGGCTCGAGGACTCCTTGCAGGAGGGAGAGGAGAGACTCAGTACTCGGATGATGAAGACTCAGACACAGAGGAGTACAAATCTGCTAAACCCTTGTGAGTGCTCTGCACAGATCTTAGGGCACAGCTCTCTGAGGCCAACGTGTTTAGTTCATCTGTATGCATTGATCATTTATGAATCCGTTTGCTGTTGTACTTTATTTGTGCTCATCTTCTTGTTCCAGCATCAACCCCATCACCGGTCATGTGGAGGAGCCCATGCCGAACCCCATCGAAGAGATGACGGAGGAGCAGAAGGAGTACGAAGCCCAGAAACTAGTCAATATGTTTGACAAGTTGTCAAGGTAACAATGCTAAAATATAAAAGACTCTAAGAATATTAGGGACTGTAGAATCCTCGGTTGAGTAATTCAACAGTAAGTGTTTTATTTTTCCGATGTTTGTTTTCAAGTTGTTGTTTTTGTTGATAATGGACAGGAGGGAGGTAACAGGACATGAGGGGAAAATGTAACAAAGGTGTTTCAGTAACATGGTCAGTGTCTCAAACCCCTTGGTCGGGAACATTAACAGCATAAAATAGCACAAAGATTAATCAAATCTCAACGGACGGTGGTCAACAAACAGAGAAACAAACAAACAAACTTGACATGCCACTGAAATCTTTCCAAAAGTTACAAAAAAATCCTCATTTGTCAAAAGGCTCGACTAAGATCATTAACTTTTTGAGCTGGAGCAACAGTTGTTTCCCTGCTCAAATTATTCATATTATTCATTGTTTCCCCTGCGAGGACCCCACCTGTATTTGTGTTGACCTTTCCTCAGTGAGCAGAGGCCAGTCAGTCAGGCACAATGGCGTCACAAAGGTAACAGTGCGCCCGCTCCCTGCCAACCGCTTCATCAAAGGAAGAATCTCTTCCTGTGAGCTGCAGCTTTAATTAGGCCCGACTTCCAGCACGCCGCAGCATTCAGCCGAAAGGAAGCTGCCGGCACGCCGCTGCAGCATCATTACCACAGCCCCGTTAATTATCACCTAATTGGTAGACACAGCCGGCTCTTCGGCCCCGGCTCCTTTTATGTGCCGCATTCAGGTTCTCTCAGATAACACATGTGTCCTGACTTCATTCTGAGGAGCCAGTCAGGGAGTGGACTGAGACAGAGGCACAACTAACAACAAAGCCAATTTGAGGGGAACGTGCAGGGAGAGACACGAGTGAACAAATGTGCAAACGTAAGAAAGCTGACCTCGTCCTTGTTAAGCCGAAGAGGGGGTTGAGCTGTAATGAGACGCGTGCGCCCAGAAGAGGAAGATTCCTCTCCTCTTTCTTCTGCTCCTCAGTGGAGGAGGTGTGACGCTGAGGGAGAGGTGAATCCTCAGTGCAGCTCTAAGGAGATCGCTCAGAGCCCTGGAAGAATGTGCCCCTCTAACTGCTTAACTGGTCCTCCAATTAGCACATATTCTACACCCCCGCCCACCCCCGTTTACACCTGACAGACCCCCAGTCCTCTCACTGCTCGGGAGGAGAGGAGGGATTATTTCTGCACTAATTGGGAGGGATGATGTCACATGTTCGTTTGTTTTGTCTTGTTAGGCTTCATTTTACCTGCCGACACTAACCAGTGATCTGAGGCTGTGGACTAGTGATGCCTCTCTGTAAAAAAAAAATGTCATTAGAGAAACCTGCAAAGAAAATACTTAAATCTATTCTGATTGAACCACATCCTCCATCTCCTATCCAACTACAGAACCTGCTCTTTAACCAGGATAAGTTACATTTAATTGGAGGAATCAGTAGCGATTACATGGCCATTTATTTTTGGAATCTCCTTACAACTGAATGCAAATGGGTCCTTAATAAATCGGTGGTGGGTAATTCTCTGATAAACCATCTCAGAGGGAGGGGTGACACACAGTGCAGGTATAATTGGATTAGGATGAAGGGGCAGTCGTGGCTTTGAGGAGATTAGTTTGAGCGCTGATCCTGTAATTAAACTGCCAGGAGGGGGGAGGAGGGGGAGGGTGAGGATGGCCAGACAGGGGCAAGTGGGGTTGTAGGGTGAGGGTCCTTGAGCTCTGGATGTAAGAGGGTAAAGATGCAGGAGTGAAAGCCCCCTTTAAACTGCCCGAGGACACAGACAGTCCTGAACAGAGCAGGGGTTTTGTTTGTATTAAAGATCAATTCAAACAGGAATATGTTTTTCTTTTTGTGTCAACAGGCAGAATGTGATCCGGCCGATGGGGGTCATGCCTGACGGGACGTTAGCACCACTTGAAGAAACTCTCTGCGACCCCCCCGATGACTCAGGATCGGACTCTGACTAGGCACGCCACTTTCAGGCCCCATGTTCAGGCCCTCAACACATCCCAGAGCTGTGTCCCATGTCAGTGTCAGGAGGGTTCTCAGAAATCCAAACAAATGCTGAAATGTAGGATCTGCTTTTTTAACTTGGATGACCAGAAAGTCACCCTAATTTGACAGATTTGTGAATTAACATTAGGACGTTTAAGTGTATCAAATGTTTCAGAATGGCAGATAGTGAATCAGGTTAACGATAAATGTGTTTAAGCGATGTAATTTATGTTGGGCAACATGGTGTATTTAATATTAAAATGTGACAGTGATCCGGTCCTGAACTGGGACACAGCTCACCATGTCCCCGGAAACAGTGGAGGCCCTGTGGCAGCACTGAGACCTCCTCCAGAGAGGAAGTGGACTTGATGTGCATCAGAGACTTTGCAGTGGCATCAAAATGCAAAGGAGATCACCATGGTTACTGTTGCACCTTCCTCATTTATTGTAGCACTCCTTAAGTTTAAAAAAATAAATAGAGGTAATAATATAATTCTTTGCTGGATCGTGTGTAGGTCACTGAAAGCACGTTGTCATAGTTGAAGTGTCACTGGGTCTGAATAATCATTCCTTCACATGGGCTTTTGTTTTTTAACATTTCTCTTCTTTCTGCTACATGATGATTTAGTTATCTGTTTCTAGATGACTCAAGCGCACATAATAGAAACTACTTTAAATATGATATCAACAAAAACTGTAAACAGAGACCCTTGTTGATGGTTTAAAATCATGGGGTATGTCCGTTAGAGACAACTAGATTGGTGAATATTTAGAGATCAGGCAGTGTGGATAGGTTTCGCTTGCAGCTCACACTGAGTCTGTGTTCGGTTGTGTAATTATGAGTGTTGCACACCAGTTAGTCGCCAAGGAAACCTTCTGAATTCAGGGCTTGTTGGTTTGTGTCACTGAAATACCTTCTTTTTTCTTAAATGTATAAATTGTGGAGAAACGCAACCTTTTCTTGTGGTGGACGATAGTGAAGAGATTGTTTCTGCCTGCTGTGGACTCTCGACAGAGAATTGTGTAAACTGCAACGATTGTTTTTCTAATTCATTTTACTTTTGCCAAATCCGCATTATGTTAAATCAGTTGATGTTTTTCTTTTTTTTTCTAGATTGAAATGTTTGCTAATTTTATACAATTCAACATGTCTTTAAACTGATGAGACTTATTTTTGTTGGTACAATTTAATTTAATATCTGCCACTTTTTAAATAAGCCGAATGCAACAGATTCCCCCCCCCCCAAAGTGAAACCCTGACTTTGGATAAGTGAGACTTTCCTTGTACAAAAACAAATAGCTGATTACAATCCAGAGAAACCGAGTAATGCTTTAACCAGAGAACATGTGTCATTGTTATATGATAAAGGAAACAGAGACTGTTTACTTGTTTTATAATGAATAATCATGAGCACACTTCACCTGACCTGAGAATCCTCTCTACTGCCTCCTCACACAGAAAATAATAAATGATCTAGAGTTTGCCTCACAAAAGACTTAACTCCGAGTCACTCGCTTAAACTTCATGTGACTAATTTAATGTTTTTTGTTGCTTAGAAAAGTCATAAAAGGTCAGACATACACAAATTAAAGTCAAAACCTAGCAGTAAGGTGTTGGGTAGCACAAACACTTTTTCCCTTTCAGTTAGTCATGCAGCCGTTTCTCTCGTGCTCCTGTGTAAATGCCTTCTCTTTCCTCCACAGTCATAGTGGGATATATTCAAATTGCATGTTGATCCCTGCTCTATCTGGAAAGCTTTTGTTGTATTTTTGCACACTTTATATACTGTAAATATCAGCACACTTATTTTATGTGAGGCTTCCACTGAAAAGTTAATAAACTGGAGAATAAGAGCAGTGGTTGTTTTTCTCTGACTAATATTACATAAACCTTGTTTTTAAATGACAATTCCTTTATTGAATTTTGTTTAAAATACAGTTAATAAAACATTAACAAGATGAGTGACATGGGACATATAAAACATACATCAGAATTGTTGCTACAGTACATGTATAGTAGTGTTCTCGATGGACACTCGCTCTATAAGTGCTATAAATATGCTTGTAGATAGCTTGATAAACACATTTTTTAATTTACATATGAACATACAACTATGACACACTGTGACTCCCAGATAAACAGGTAAGTTGCACCTTCAGTCCATTTTAGAAAGGAATGAGTCGTGCATATGAACAGGTAACTGGAGAACAGTGTTAGTGTCAGAAGAGGAGGAACAGTTTGAAACCTTTCCAGAGCCTAATGTTTAGGAAATGTCAGCGTCAGGTGCTCTGGCTGGAGGACGCAGAGCTCTTGCTGTCCGTCTCGGAGTCCGTCTCCTCGCTGCCGCTGCTGGCTCCCCTCTGCCCCCCCGCTCTGGACCTGGAGGTCTCCGTCCCAGCCGGAGTTCCTCTGCTCTGACAGGACGTCTGGTCCACTGACAGAGGGCTGCTTATCAGCGTAGGGAGGCTCTGCAGAAGAAGATGATTCACATAGTCAGCAAAAGTGTTTGAAAATTGAGCCCAGAGACATTTTAAGAGCAACTTCAAAGGTTATAAATGAAGATCTCATTGGGAGTACTAATGTTTATAAAACAAATGGTGGTTAAGGCCATTTCGGATGTCAGTCATTAGCCCATATATGGAAGCTATTCAAAATACTAGTTTTACAATTTAAGAAAAGCTGATATTCAGACAAACATTCATTTTAATAGAAGAAGCAACTAAATAAGCTATTGAAATTAACTGAAATAATCTTCTATAATAATACTTTTATGACAAATCATAACATTTAATTATCATATTTTTATTGCATAATTTGTTCACTTAAACCAGCACAGAGGAATCGTTAATAACATTAGTTGTGTGTCATTTAAACGTAATTTATTGATTGTCCCTAGGTGAAACCATGTGGCTTTGGAGCAAGGGCAGTTGGTGGTTAAGTTGCATTATGGGTAATGTAGGTAAGTAAAACTAATGATCGAAAGTAAAACTAATGATCGAAACCAAAAGATGACATCTAAGGCTCTGCAAATATCCATTGTTAGTCTGAATCTTATAGAAGTGCAATGTCAGCAGCATGGAGTATTTTTAGGTATCTACCTTTTTTCTTTTGTTTATACGTATATATCACCAGTGCTTTGCGTTTCCCTTTGGATATCGCAAAAGTATGTTTAAAAAAGAATCTCAAGACTCACACCTTGCATAATAATCTTTAATAAATTGATTTGTATGGCGTTGTGTTTTAAAATGGAACCCACCAGTGTTTCCTGACTCCTCATCAGATCCTCTATGTCATCGTTCCAGCCGAGCATTTCAGCAAACCTCCTCACTGTCTCCTCCAGGTCGCCCAGCTCCATGTGGTCCGCCCTCCGCAGCGGGACCTTCTCAAAGGGTCCCACGGCGTTTCGGTTCAGGAGGAGGCGGGGCACGGTGGAGCGGATTGTGTTCACCAAGCTGGCAAATGGCTCAATCTGAAACAATAGATTTTGGTTCAGATAAAACCGAGCTCAGTGTTCTGCTCAAAAAATGTATTGAACCAATTAGAGGAATGGTATTCAAAATGCTTACCTGTAAAGATGTGCCCATAATGATGAGCAGGTCTGCTTTGGGGAAGTCTTGAGTGTTGAGGAAATATCTCTGAGGAAGGTCCTCTCCAAAAAACACAACGTCAGGTTTCACTGTTGCAGCGCAGAAGGTGCATATGGGGAGTTTATCATTCATTATGGCCTGCTGCAGAACCAGAGAAGAAAGCATTGAATAGAAGGACTGCTTTACATTTCAAGATGGTGTTTTTTTAGGTCACACATACCTTAGCCTCTTCAGCGGGGTATGCAGTGTAGCAGAGGTGACAGGCAGCTGTGGCAAAACTACCGTGAGCTTCCACAAGTTTGTCATCTGGGATGCCACACACTGTAAAGACAGAAACATATAATAACTCAAACCAACTTTGAATCTTTTTTCCATTAGACAAACCAAGAAAGCACAAAGGAAGTTGTGCAGGAAACACAATGTGGAATTTCTAGCGCATCAAACTCCATGCAAGAGATAATGTTAAAAACATTTCTGCAATGGTAAAAAGAATGCAGTGCAGCGTCAACGCACATGGATGTGCAAGGACCTGTTCATTGCGTCTTTAATTTGGATTTATATTTAATGTGTATTTTTGTACTCCTTATGAAATGGTTTAAGTTTAAACAGTTTTTAAAAAATGTATACAAATAAGATCTCCCTCACATCTTTCCAGTCCGTCGATGTTCTGGGTGTACACTCGGAGCAGCAGTCCTTTGTGATGAAGCATGCGGATGAAGTAGTGTATGTAGTTTGGACGGTGGCTGCCGGGATACAGAGCCTTGGCCAAGGAGAAGAAGGGCTGCGGGTCGTTGGAGAAGTAGTCAATGTTGAAAATAGCTTCTGGGTAAGGGATGTTGTACTTCTCCAAGTTGGCGTAAAGACCGGTTCCTGGAGTTCTGGAAACGTGGAAATACAGGCACTTTGATTTGGACATTATGGTGATGGTTTCATTAAAGTGTCTTTATTGTACTTTCTATATCCACTTAACAGTAGAAAGACTAATATAATAGATCGAGGAAAGATGATGATGATGGGGCTGTAAAGAGAACAAATGTACCTGAAGTCTGGGATGCCGCTGGCCGTGCTGACTCCTGCTCCGGCCACCACCACCACGTTCTTGCAGCGGCCCAGTTTGACAAGCCGAGCCACAGAGGCTAGACCCCCCCGGGAGGAGGATTTGACAGCTGAAGCAGATGGACTGCTTCCAAAAAAGACACAAAAACATCTTGATCCCAAATAAGACAATCCCCTGAATAATACCTTTGAGTGAAGGCAGTGTGTTCTCCCATTTGCTAAAAAATGGTATGCTCCCCAGCCACAGTGGCCCTGACGCCCAGCATGCATTGCCCCGATTACTTCTTTAGACGGTGTATTTTTAGTTAAACATACCGTATGTCTCACGACTATTACATGTTTATTTTGTTGAAATCTAGCATCATTTTTAATATAGTACTATGCCTCCACTGTTTTAGTGTTGTTACACTTATGTATAAATGTTTGCATATGTGGTTATTTGTGTACATATGTATTTGCAAGTTACTAATAATAATATGTTTGCCTCCGTTTGTCAATCACTGATATTAAAGGTCTCCTATTATACTGTTTTACATCAATATATTACAGGTCTCAGATATGTACAAAACATGTCTCTGAAGTGTTCGGCTGGAAATACCAAACAGATCGTGCATTGTAGCATCCCATAATCCCCTCTGTTTCAGCCCTGTTTCAAAAGTGCTGATTCTGGGTCTCTTACTTTAGATGAAAATAAGGAGCCACTCCCCTCTGAGAGATATTTGGTTAAAAAGAACCCAATGGTGCTCTAGGAGGAGATTCAGGTGATAAGGTGGGGGGGGGCCTATCCCCCTGTGTGCCTGGGGGGGTTACCTTGGTTGGTTATTGGCTAATGATTACACAAGCCAAAAAATCGTTATGACATCATAAAGTGGCCAAAATCTGATCATCTGACAGGTTTTTATGTAAATGGATCAGAACAAAAAGTGAGCAAATCTTTTATACACATGTTGATGTATAAAAGTGAAAAAGTGGATTTTGAATAATAGGTGAACTTTAAAGTCACAGTTAGACCTCCTGCTCTCTGATTTCCTGTTTCTTACCTAGACTCTATAAAAACGTAAACCTTTTTAGGGTCCCCAGTGCCCACCTGTTATTGAGAGTGTCCTGTCCGCTCATACTCATCTGACTGAGGTCCTGGGCCAGAGCAGAGTCAGTCTGCTTCCGTCGTTGTTTTCCGTACGGACCCGGCCCGGAGTCCAGCCTCTCTGCGAGCTCGGTGAGTCGGCTCCCGGCGCTGCGGGTCACCCTGGGGACCGGAGGCTGGCTGGACCTGGACCTGTTCATCCCAAAATCTGTTGACAGCAAGCCAAAAAATAAACATTCAGCCTACATTTAAAAATCTGTCATTGTTCATGACTTGTAAATCACAGCACAATGTGGGATCTATCCAAAGGACATTTTAACCTCCAACAAAAAAAAAGAATCATTTGCTTTTGGCTGTACCAAATGGAAAATATTTAGTTCAACCCGTATTGTTCTAACTGCACTAATTAAATATTGATTTGTTTGTCAGTGATTAGCTCTTCATTTGCTCCCCCTCTTTCTTCTGTGTCCAACATTTAAAAAGCTGTTACACTGAAAGCACCCTTTTCCCCTCACCCTCTCTCCGCTGAAATGTTTTAAAACTGTCAACTGTTGAACAAAAGGTAATGGCTGCAATATATTTAGCACCCCCCCCCTCAGCTATGCTAATACAGTCCACAGCTGTGGCAGCTTTACTGTTCAGGGAAAGCGGAGGGGAGAGCAGAGGGGCGGGGGGGTGAGATAAAAAGAGGGGTAACAGAGGTGAAAGGGAACCGCAGATTGACTGTGTGTCAACAAACCCAGCTGGGAGAGAAAAGAGGATGCCCCCTAACGGCCCCCTGAAAGTGAGGAAAAAAGGGAGAGGGGGGCTAGAGATAAATGATATAGAGGCGGGATTCAATAAAGGGGGAACAGAGGAGTAGAGGAAGAAGAGGAGGAGGGAGGTTTCTTTTCCAAAGCTATTCTAGGCCTTCAAACAACTTCCATGAGGGATGAGTGTGAGTGATCAGGCAAAGGCAGCGGACAAGGAAACAAAAGAGCTACATCCCATAAAACACCACTGCTTCAGAGGGCGGCAGGGAGATAAGACCAGCTTTTCTCCCGGAGCACCTTATCCCCTCTGGACGGGACAGCAGAGGTCACTGAAAGCTTACTGAGCTGCAGCAAAAAAGAAAACACAATACCAGCCTTTCAGATGAAAATGTAAATGTGATGTAAACGTGCTTTTAGCTTAAAAACATGTACACTTTGGCCTCTAACCACTTTAGATAACCCGGGATAAAGTAGTATCCAAACTTTCTTTTAAGGAGCTCAATCTTCTTTCACTTTGCCTCCTTACAAAAGATTGAAGCCCCCACATTACTACCATTTCTTTCCCTCCCTGCACATCCTAAAGAACTATTAAAAACAGCGGGAGGGTGAGGGTCTCGGCTTTTGTCCGACACCTCTAAAAAAGACACTGCTGAGTACATGCAATAAATCACCAGCCCAGTTATTAAGGTCTCACACTGATGGTGTGCAGAGGCAGAGCCAGAGAGTCAACACACCCTCTGATCATATCTGCAAAAGTCACACTCACATAAAAAGTCATGTGAAAAAAGGCCAGAATGACCTAGAACAACAAATAGAGCACACAGGTGTTTTTTCTCCTGGGATGATATTGAAACCTGTAGGGTGGCAGCAGGTTACAACCAGTCAGAACAGAGCAGCAAAGGGCCATGTTTACAAAATGGAGGACACTTCAGCAACAACTTGAAACAAAAAAACTGAAGAAGTTTTTGTCGGTTTTAAAAACAACATGAAGTCCGGTGCGCATATTTATTTTTATGAGATCAAATGCTTTTTTGTGTTTTTTAAACACTTAATAAAGGCCTAACTGTGCCACAAATACCATTATTATTCTTTAATGGCAAATAAATCCCTGTGTAAATGACAAAAGGCTTTAAAAGGATTTGACAGCCCCCCCC